AGCTGCATGGCATGGGAGTCAAACCAAACTACAAATGGTTTAAGCTGATTAGCAGAGTTAAAAAATCTTTGCCTGATGTGGAAATTGAGTGGGTAGAAATTTCTAAGTGAAAAAGTAAGTAGGTTGGTCTTCAATGCATATTTCAGAAGTGGCACTGGAGATTTAAATTACCTCATTCACTAATGATATAATGAAGAAGCATTAGGAACAAACATATGCAAATACACCCTCTGTTATTGTGAGACAGAAAATTCAGGAAAGAGAGAGGATGAGAACCTAGAGGGCACCTGGAACAATTTTATCTTGCTTCTGAACTGCTGCAGAGGTCTGATGTTTTGGCAGAGATGAGCTTCAGCTCCCCATGAAATAAGTTTTAAAGTTAATAACTACACAAAATCTGCATAACTGCTCAAACTCTTGAGAGCATGTGTCGTGTTACAAAACCTTATCCAAAACACTTTAAAAACTGGACAGCATTTATCTGAGGAAAACCACAGAAATCACTCCACAAGATCACATTGTTTCAAACTTGCATTTCATTGGGTTTATAGTCATACTCCCCTGCCTTTGTCAGGGAAAATGGATACTTCTTCCTCTCCTTTACTAAGCTCTTGTAGGATGCACTCCAGAGTAGGAGCAAAAAGAACCCTTCCTCCTGAAAAGCTGCACCCATTTCACAGCAAATGTAGCTATGCATAACACTTTTATAACTGGACATTTACACTTTAAGGCTCTTGCTGCCCTAACAAAGCCTAAGGCACACCAGCTAATAAATGCAGCCCATTTGAAGTGACAAATTCCTGCAGCAGTGTGCCAACATCTTAAATTTTTCTCCCCTCATAAGGCAGCAGGATCCTGAAAAGCTGCACCCATTTCACAGCAAATGTAGCTATGCATAACACTTTTATAACTGGACATTTACACTTTAAGGCTCTTGCTGCCCTAACAAAGCCTAAGGCACACCAGCTAATAAATGCAGCCCATTTGAAGTGACAAATTCCTGCAGCAGTGTGCCAACATCTTAAATTTTTCTCCCCTCATAAGGCAGCAGGAAATTTCTTTTTTTATTTCTTATAGCACTTTTGGTGGGTGTTATTAAAGAAGTAAGATGCAACAGCCTTACCTAAAGTGGATCTGTTCCTACTAACGAGCCAGCAGTGGTACCCAAACAGAAACATGAGGCTTACAAAGAACATGACTGCCACAAAGAGCAGGAAGAGCACATGGAACTTGGAACGGACGTTAGTC